AGAACCAAAGGTGTCCTTTGTAGGAGAGGGTGTCCTCATTTCAGGGGGTTTTCCCTTCGAGGAGGTTCCACGGAAATGGTGTAAGTAGGTAAGGTACCTCAACTCAAGACGCACGAAGAGACTTTGCGAAGTTCGATTGCCACCTGCCACATGCCTTGAACCTTCATTGTCAGCGGGAATGACCGTTGCTTTTAATGGCCATGGACTTTACCCCCCAATCACACACTTGATTACTATTTACATGTTTGACGTTTGGACAACGGATTTGTGGGTACTATGTTTAGGGATTAAGTGTAATTTGCCCCTCATATACAAATTAGACAATTGGGGGATTTTCCCTCTATCATATTTGTCCCTGATTATTGTCCTCTGTCACTTGCAAGAGTAATTAATATTAGGCCGCCACGAGATATTTTTTGTCCTACTAGACAGCACATTTTGCTAAACTTTTCACTGTTAACGCATGATTTACTGCATAGCGGCACTGGTACGCATTATTTCCTCTTCTATAAGCGCTGCACTGATGGTAAAGCATGATTTACTGCTATACTGCACTGGTAAAGCATTATTTCACTGCTCATCTGTTGCACTGGGTAAGCTGTTTAACTGCTTACTGCACTGGTAAGCATTTTACTGCTATCAAAACGTGCACTGGTAAAGCATGATTTACTGCTATAATAATATATAAATAAAACTACCTCAATACCTAAAAAAAATAGTAATAAACTAAATAATAAACCACTAATCATACAATACTAAATCATAAAATAACTGCATGTAAAGCATGATTTCCTGCTATAGGCTGCACTGTAGAGCGTCCGATTTATACTACTACTTGTGTATTTCATGCTGATCACAAGCTGACAGTGATACAAATAGTGTGTCATTCGGCCAGTGATACCACACACACATGCTCTAAATCCGGTGGGTGCGAGCAAGCATTACTGGCGATGATCCATAGAATCAGGACGAAGTCCATGTTAATCCAGCCGCCAATGATGATCATTGGTAGAACATTAGTGAACGTACCCTTCATCATCTCCATCATCATACTGCGATCTGAGATCATGTGACATCGGACATCAGGTCACATGACTTCAACAGTTGATCATGTGACTTATCATAAACAATACGCAATATGCCTTAAAAACAAGTGGTAATGGCACTTCAAAAAAGGGGTCATGTGACTTTCAAGAGTACTACTTCAAAACAATGTGCTTTTCAAACAAGTGGTAAAGGGATTGAAGAAGTGGTCATGTGACTTCAAACAGCGGTCATGTGATCTCTCACCCATGGCATTGAGAGGGTTGGGTGCAGATCTCTTTTGTGACTTGAAATATCCAGTCTCTTCGTGGTTGAAGAAATGCTTCCTCATCAGAAACGACTGCGGGACATTTTGAGCAGTTTTTTCAACTTTTGAGAAGTTTAGGATGGAACACACATGACAAAACAGAGACAACTTTAGAGAAGTTTAGGATGGAACACACATGAAAGAAACAGGGACAACTTTAGAGAAGCACTGAAGGAAAGATGCAGCAAGCAACCTGCACCCTAGCTATATAGAGGTAACATTCGCACTCACACAGATTTTCATCTATATTGAAATACGGTGACAGTGCGCTTACGTTTAGTGGAATGCACCCTCCGTTCTCTCTCAGACTTCTGCTCCGTAGCAACGCTTGGCTATCGTCAACGAAAAACGATAGGCATGGAGTGCGCATTAAATAGAGTCTACTCACGCGTCCTTGATTTTGTCGCGCTCCGGAGTCTGATCTTGCTTGAGGAGGACGGTGACGTAATGGCGGACTAGTCCGAAGAGAAGGGTGATGAGAACGATGGGTAGAATAACCCACAGCCGAATAGCAGGGTCTAAAAGCAGCTCCGCCATCGCGCTAGAGCTCCGAGTAAAGTGCGCGTTTATTCGAGTGCGGTACCATGCGCTCTACGCATGCGCACGCTGAAACAAAATGGCGGATGTTGTTTGACAGCTGATATTATTTCAGTGATAGGTAGTAATCACTAATGATGACCAGCATGAATATACGTATACAGTGACATTGCTCATAATAAGAAAGTGCCTATGGGCACAGTAGGTGGCCTAGTTTCTTCTCTTTCTGCTCTTTTTCTTGTTTTTTCGGGCGCATGAGGGGCAGAACCATCTCTCGTTCTCTGGTGGAGCCTGTGTTATTCCAATACAGTACCTGCCAGTCAATCACACATAATGAAACAACCTCGTTGTATAGTACACTGTTCATAATGATGATGTAATGCTCACTACCTGCAAACACCTTAGGTCACATGACCTTCAGAAACCCAGAGATTTGATTGGCTCAACTATTTCTCAAGCGCACGGACTCAGAAAACTACAAAATTTGGACGTTCCCTCACTCTCTCTTTCACCTCTCTCTCCTTCCCCCACCTCCACCAACTCACCAATGGTACCAACCCTCACAGCTACCGTCACACCCAATCATCGGAGAGCCGTCGTCCGGCTTCGAACAGTGAGGACAATACCAAACTTCCCCGCCAGGACTGACAGCCACTCCCGGCAACTTTAGCGGCGGAAACAGCCCCGCCCTCCCCGAACGGGGTGTGGTCTGTTTCCATGACGACGACGATGTTGCTCCGGGCAGCGCCGACAGTTCCAGCTTGGGGAGCTTTATTTGGGGAATGTTTGACCCGCCTTTCTTCCCAGCTTTCTGAGGACTGAGGGAGAGAAAACGAGCGTGTAATGAACTCCTCTAAGACAGATGGCACCCAATAAAAATAGTTTTGTTGTCATTCATAACGTTTTTGTGAATGTTAAGATTGACTAATTTTTCCCATGGTGTCACATGGTGTCACATGGTGTCACATGGTGCTCAAATTTTAATAAATATTGTAGTCGAAATGCTTCCAACATTGTTTCACTCACTTTTTATTTGATCTTCCTCTCTTCCGCGACTGACCCTCGCGACCTCCCCGAGAGGTCGTTGCCATGGAATCGGTTGCGGCAGCCCCTTTTTTCCTGTGCTTTTTATCTGGTTTCCCTGGCGACTGCTTCCCGAGTACTTATAGAGACATAATAATGGACAACAATCATAATGTTAGGGACGTATTCAAAATTAACGCTGTTGTTCTACCCTTACTGCGTTTTTTTAGAAGAAAAAATTTTTTTCCTTGAATGTGGCAAAATTGGAGCAAGCTCAGCAAAAAATTGTACAGTAAGGCACAGAGGTATGTGTGTAACTTACTAGGCATGCTCTGAAGAAACGCTTTGCTGATTTTCAATTTCAGTTTGAGTCCCCCACTGCCGACAGTGGCACCGCTCGACGTCGACTCCTCGTCCTCCGATCTGATTGGTCGTTGCCACGGCGACGGAGCGGGGGAGGGGGCGGGAGGGTGTGAGAGGGGGGAGGGGGACGACGATTCGCTGTCAGTACTGTCGCTGTCGCCAGATGAAGAAGAAGAAGAAGGCTGCGGAATGATCCTGACCTATGACCCCAGAGAGAGGGAGAGATAAAGTTACTACATGCTCCAAGGAGTTTCACAGCCAATTCCCAATTGCAAGTAATTTACAGGAACTGCACGACGTCATTTGTCTACTTTGTTTTTTCCCCACAGTGCCTGTCTTGTGCACTCACCAATCATTTACCAGCTACAGTATATGTATATACCGGTAGTTTTTTTTGTCGGAGGGGAGTTACGTTGTCACCAGGTCTAAGAATACTTTATACATGTTGTTTTCGGGTCTGATGCATGTGTGCACAGCAGAACAAATATCAGGGAACCAAAATCTGTTTTGATTATCACGAAAAAAACTGCTACGTGTAAGAGAAGAAACATGTATGTTAAAACTCACATGTTGGGTTTCTTGAGAAAGTACAGGAGGAGGCGGAGCTACAAGTCCCATTTCCGAGATATCCAATTCCCTCCTCCAGACTCCCTGCCCCGGGGTGGGCCCCTCGGGGGCCGAATATTGAGAACCCTGTCCTGGATACCACCCTTTGCTCGACGGAGTTTCCGTTTTAACCCTTTCGATCGCTGGCGGTTTGAATTTAACCCTTTCGGCACTTGAATGAGTTACGATTACATCGTCGTCATCGTCTTCTTCTTCTTCCTCTTCGTCGTATTCGGGTTGCGGCAGGAGGTCAGAGGTCGTTACCAGGGGCGACTCTTGATGAAGAAGCGAACGTTTAATGCAGATAATCAGAGGAGAATGAGGAGCATGCGGTTCGCTCTTTATCTTAGCAGAAGCAACCGGTGACTGTAGAGATCTCTGCAAAGGGGGAAAACGCTTCTTCTGTTTTTTCTCCGAGTCTTTCTGAAGACTTGCAGAGCGTGAAGACGGCTCCTTTCTCCGCCTCCTGTTTCTCCCCCCGCCCCCTTCTCTCCCTCTCCTCCCTCTCTCCCTCAGCGAAGGAACAAGGCCAGTTTTGATTGTTACTACGAACGACCCGGTAGATTCTCTATGTTGCGATAGTGGAACTTGTCGAGCGGACTTCGCAACGTCTTTTAGACCGAAAGACACGGGCGACGGTTTGAGGTAAGGGTCGGTTGGAGGGGGCAGTGGGTCAGATACCGATACTGGAATGGAATGGAGACTAGTGGAACCGGGAATGGGACTGGGACTGGGACTGACGCTGGGAGTCGAGGCGAGAGAGTGCGAAGAGGAGCGAACTGCGGCTTTGGGCGGCTCCAGAAAAATCCTTACCTCTTCCTCCTCAACTTCCGGAACTTTCCGGCCTGTTTCGCCCTCTGAACCTGAACTGGTCCCACTAGAGGAGCTGTCGTCAGACTCACTCAGTTCCAACTGCTTGTCGATATCAGGAATATCCATCTCCTCCTCGTCGTCGTCAAGGATACAAGCCACGCCTCCTTCCCCGCCCCCTTCAGTGTTGATATCGGCAACTTCGCAAGATCTTAGTCGCACTAGTTCCGCCGTCAGTGAAGCCCTCTCTTCCTCCCCCATTGACTGATTGAGAGAAAAACCAGTTTCTATTTCCGGTTTTTCAGGTTCCTCTAACGAGGCCTTTGAACTAGCAGAAGAAATGATGCTTTCATTATCGTTATCGTCTTCTTCTTCTCCGGATTGAACGGCTGATTTTTCACGAACGGGTTGAAGTTGTGGCGAAGAAATTGCGGGTGTGGATGTGAGAGGGAGGGTGGAAGGAGAGTAAAGTGAGGATTCTGTCACTCTCGTTTCCACGGGGATGTCGCTCTGTGTCTCCTCTGGCGAAGGCGACTCCTCGTCACTCAAACTCTCTCCTTCCTCTCCCTTGGCCTCCGGAGAGTTCACTCTCGGAGGAGAAGGGGAGAAAGATTCGTACGTTGGTTTGTCCGTCTTCTCTGTGGCTGTGGTAGACTGTGGTTTTTCAACTGACGCTAGCTTTACTGCAGTCTCAGGTGACCTGCCGGTCGATTCAACACTAGACGCTTCTTTTAGCGAGTGGACGAATGAAACTGAGCCAGTCGATATTTTCATTTCACTTTCAATTTCCGTCTCAATATCAGCTGCTGAGGACGTCTGGTGAGGTTGGGTCGATCCCAGAGACTTGGTTTGCCCTGTGGTGGGCACTAATTGGGGTGAAGACGGTAGAGGCGTGGCGATTGGCGGTAGTTTCGCCGGGGGGTTGGGTGGGGTGGGCGTGGTCAAGAGAGGAGAGAGGAGAGGGAGGGCGTGTCTGACTCCGCCAGCTAGCGGAGACGGAAGAAGAGGTGAGATAATCGGCAACGGGTCCAAATTTCCTCCGCCACTCATAAGTCGGAGCGGAGGAGGACGAGAAGAAGAAGAAGAAGCGGCTTCAGTTGGTTTTCTTCCCCCAGAACTGTCTGGATCAGTTCCCTGTGGATCAGACACCTCGCGGGCACTTGTGAAAATTCTCCAGAAATTTCCCTCAAAGGGCAAACAACGGTGGTGGAAGATTTCGTCAGGGAACTTTCTTTACTGGCTACTAGACTTGTACAGTCTTCTGGAGATACCTGAAGTGAGCTCTCAGTGGCAGAATTCGAAATTTCTGCTGGATTTCGATTCCCACTGGCTTGCCCTGTCACCCCACTACCGGCAGCAGCAGGTTCCGATACCCAGCGATTCAGAACCAGTCCCGAGGAGTCGGAAAAACTGCTTCGTCTGCTCCCCGCTTCTCCCCCCTCCTCGCTCATCTCCGAGGAAAGTCTACTGCGACTACGGAACATCTGTGGGAGTCCACTGAGTGGGTCCCCCGGTGTGGGGAGGAGCTCCGATGACTCCCCCAATCCCTCTCTCTCCACCGGCTCGTGAACTCCGCTCTCCGCATCATCTGATAGTCACGTGACACTCATGTGATACACACACGAGTTAATTTTCGAGAGGGTTATAATCCTATTATGAGACTTGAGATCTGACTATAACAGGGACACCTTGGAAGTGCATACATTATCCAAAGAATTAACTTAGTTAGAGGTACATTGCACGAAATTGTATATGGGGCAGAACCAAGTGTCCCTAATAGAGAAGTGTCCTTTATTCAGAGGGTCAATTTCATAAACTTTACCATCGTCATCCTCCATTTTCTTAGACGGAAGAGGAGGAAAATATGGAGGAATTATATCGCCCCTCTCCCCTTCACCCTCTTCTTCCTCTTCCGATAGCAATGGGCGGGGTTTCGAGGTAGTGGGCGGGGCAGACGGAGGTGAGTAAATGTGGGCGGAGTGTCGAGGGAGTGGGTAGTGAGGAAGGGCGGGGAGCGGGGCGGAGTCAACCAGACGAGAGTAAACAAAGAGATCGTCCATGGATATTCCGAGGTCTTCAAAGGCAAAGGCAACATCGTCCAGTGTGGCATCAGTTCTATTGGCTGTAATGGGGGGGGATAAGGACATAGTGATAGGTACACTGAAATTAGTAATACTAATCCACTCTCCAACTATAGTCAATGTACTAGAGATGGTTGGTTTGTCCTTCCGTTTACTTACATGCGTACAAAAAATGCGAAACCATTTAAACCCTTACTGGTAGGGGTAAAGAGGGGGTGAAGGGACAACGAGAGATAGATAAGGATGAGTACAACGAGATTCCACTCTCCAACTATAGTCAAAGTGTTAGGTATGGTTTGTTTGTCATTTCATTTACTTACGTGCGTACAAAAAAAGCAAAACGGTTATCATTTCGTTACAAATTTTCGTTACTTTGTCAGCATGAAAAAGTAATCGAGCTAGAAATTAGGATATGAGAAAAGGCTTTTAAACTAATAGATTCAGCCCTAACATGTAGGGAAAAGTTAGTAGCAAGGTGTGTAAGTTACCGTTGGTTACGTAAGCAGCCGTCGTACGACCCAGAGTGATGACGTAACGCTTCAGGAGGTCGGCGAGCACGTCGCAGGCTCCGTTCTGCATCCCCTGCCAGCCCAGCGGCTGACAGAGCTTGGCCACCACTTGTCGAGCAAGCTGATGGCTCGCCTCGTCGGCCATCTTCGTTCAGGCGACAAAACAGTCGAAATAGGTGCGCTCCAATTGGAGGTGAAAACCCTAGGTTGACCTTTGACCCCTACATTTTACGCATGCGCAATAGTTTGGAAGGGCGATCCGTATAATACCACCGTGGAGATGTCGACTTCAAGCTCTTTGAGCGCAGAGGCAGAAGTCCCGCCGGTACTGGCGAAACAAGAGACGGCGAGTCCGCCGTTCTCTCCCAGAGAAGAAGCGGCTGGCCTGCCCGAAGAGAGACGCCCGCCGCCGCCCGATCTCCGGGAACCTGAGGTGGGCATTATCCAGAACCGCGGAGCCTTCCCGGCTGGTTTCCCGCGGCTCGGAGGCCCACAAAGCAACCCCACTCTCCGTTCGAGGGTCACTCAGGCGTTCCTCATGACACCACTGTACCCAATGCGCTTCGTACACGTTCTGATACAGCTAGGTTACGAGCCGGTACCGCCAGAACGACGCTATAGCATCGTCTTCCAGCGATACATGTACTATTGGCCGGGCCTTATAGGCTATGCGAGAGCAATTGCCAGGAAAGACGGCTGGATGGAGCTGTATCGAGGAGTCACGGGGAATCTGGCATCCGAAATCACTGCCATTGTCGCGAGTTCCCTCCTGTCACCTGTTGTGAAAGAAATAGTGGGGAAAATCCCCCTCAGTGTTGTCCCTAGCAACGGGGACACCCCTGATAACGAGGACAATATCGAGACGACGCGAGCCATCCTCGTCCGCGGAGTTCGCCTTTTTTGCAACCAACTCATTGTCCGCTCGGCCGTTATAATCATTCGTCAACCACTCTTCACCATAAACGTGCGAATGATTGCGCAACACGTCGGCAAGGAATCACTCTACGACAGCGTATGGAGCTCTGTGCTGGAAATATACCACCGGGAGGGCGTGGCAGGTTTCTACAAGGGTGTGGTCCCGGCTCTTCTGGGCGGGGTGTTGTCGACGGTGATGCATGTGACACTGTGGGTGGGGCTCGAACTGATCGCAAAGATGATCACCCAGGACGTGGGGAAGACCCTAATTAAAGGCCTCGTTCGACCGTTCTTGATTTCCTATGTCCCTCGATCCTACGCCTATCCGTTTGAGTTGATGAGAGCAGTCATGTCGGCAAATGACAGCGGACTACAAATAGGGACGCAGCCGTACATGCCGCGATTCTCCGGCTGGAAAGACTGCTACAGGCATCTGAAGGCACAGCACGTCATGTATAGAGGGAGCGTTTTCTATTTATCTCGCTACGCTTACACAGAAAAACCCTAGATCGTAGCACCTTCATTATAGAAACTCTCATATATAATTAATAGCAGAAGTTTGCATATATTATCATCGTGTTGTGGTTTACGGATGTGTTACGTACCAACAGATGTAAATGGTTTGCCGAACATTGAAACGATCGATAATGTGAAAGTTATAATATGATTGAAGCATTACTATAGTAGCACCATAATAGAAACCATAGCTATCTTTTGCATTATCCATTATCTCTTGTGTGCATATACGTTCACATTGAAAGGATGCATACATATGCATGCTAATATATAGTTGATTGGGGCATAATAGTAGTGATGGTCATTAATTGGAGTGAGATCTGTTCAGTTCCTGACAGATTGGCTTGTGACGTTTCCAATCTTTTACCTGACACTCTCTGGAAGGTCACAAGAGAGAAAACAACTGGCTATATAAAACACTAGCCAGCAAACGTGATAACGTAAGAAGGGGGAAAAAAAGATGACTAGTATACTATCCAAACAGTGGAATTATCCCTCCTTTTGCATAATTCCAGCCCAATCTTTTAACAAAGCGACTCATATTGTGCCTAGGAAGCACCATTGCAAGCCAAAAATGCATTGCATTCTGGTACTATATCATGAAGTAGTATCCTAGTCACACTTGTGCGGTTGGACTTTTCCTGGATAACAGAGAGTGTCATTAGTATTACATACCTGCTGCAATACCATTCGACGCGGCATCTAGAGCATCTCTTCATGGCTTCCCCCCCACATACAGCACAGGTAGAGGGCTCCAGAAACTGCTCCCCAAACGTGCTCACCCACCTAGCAACACGGAAAAATGCGCAAATTTTTAAATTGAGATGCATCTTGCGTGGCCCACCCTTTGGCCAGCTCCTGGACTCTCTGGACGTCAGGCTCCAACATGAGAGAGACATGTCTGGTTGCTATGGCATCCCACTGGTCTATGTTGGTCCTCAGTATCTCCTCACGGATCACTGGCACCTTCAGCACAAGACGGAAATATTACAGCGCGGGACACAAGAGAGAGAAAGTTTCAGCGAAACCGATCGGTTGAGGGCAAACTCCCTCGGCTAAATTTTGCAACCTTTTATGCAGGAAGGCTAGTAAGTTTATTGCAAAATTCTTATAAAATTTCAAATCACGAAAATTTTATCAGTCAAATGTCTCTTAAGAATGGGTCTCTCCCGAACAAAGGACGTCTCTCTATAAATATTCTCTCTCTCTCTCTCTCTCTCACACACACATACACACCTGTTCTAGAATAAGTTGTCTCTTGCCAGGAGGAGGTTCCATGATGGACAAGTGCTCCAGGTATCGCTGAAGATCAGCCTGCATCGAAACACACTACCTCATCAACGCCAAGCACAACGACTGGCTAAAATAATCCATACAACCGAAACGGAATGGAATGGGGTCGGAGATCACAAACTCACCAAAGCCGGAATCTGCTCCAAGGTCGGTTCCGTGAGGTACGCCCTTAACTGGAGAATGAGGAATGGAAAGAATGTGCACCCTTCTCCCAAAAGTTTACTAGATCCATTCACATTTTACGAACCAGACGTAAGAGATTTGTTGCCAGGCAACCAATAATGCAAATTATGTCATCGTAGTGTCAGACCTTTAGCAGAGTGGACTTGTTGTGGTCAGTGAACTCGTATTTCTGCTGACACGGCTCGCTGAGTAGCAGCTGGTACAGTGCCAGCCACACTTGACCTTCAAACCTTTGAGATCTTCAGTCGCTCGCTCGTTTCCACGGGAACCCATCGATCGTCGTAACGCTCCGTGTCACCTGTCGACATCATACATAGCTCTTGAAAAAAAAGGAGAAAAATAATTTTGTTTCTACCTTTCTCGTTCCTCCTAATCCAGGGCTTTCTCTGCATCATATTAACCAGTAAACAAGGTGTATCTGTGTAATAAAGATTCATTGATAATAATCATTTTATGATTGATTTCCTTTAAACATAGCAGGCCAAATTTTCCAGGTAAAAACATTTTTTTCTTCCCACTATATAGCATTACCATGTGTATTGAGGAGTCTGGTGGTAATTGATAGAGGGAGGCTAAAAAAGAGAAAGAGGAGATAGAAGGTCAAAAATTGAAATATGAAAATACATGCAAGAACTGTTCTTGGGGAAAGAAAAGGTGTCCTTATTAGAGAGGTGTCCTCATTTCCGGGGTGTCCTTAGAGAGAGGTTCCACTGTAGTGCAATGCAGTGTCTAAAAGGACGTTGAAAGTGAAACTCACACAGAGAGATGGTCAGTGATGTACTTGACGATTGACAAACTGCCCATTGCCAGTGACAACTGAAAGGACTTGCTGTGACCCCTTAACTCCTGTAAACATTATATTCCACCACGTGACAGGCTGCGTATATGACAGTGTATTTGGCCCTTTTTTGTTCAATTCAATAGCAAAATTTAGGTCATAAAAATTTGGCTCATCAATTATCTAAAGTTTTTGTTGGAGACTCCAAAATTTTGGTACTGCACATAATTTATGTTGCTCACAGTAAACAAACTTGTTTACATCAAAGGTTTGACACTATTCAGTATCAATTATAGGACAGTACACCCATTACCTTCAATAGATCAACTTTGGGGTTCTCCGGGTCTTCTTCATCACTGCTTTCTTCCTCTCTCTCTCCCTCCTCTCCCTCCTCACTAAGAACTGCAGTGATCCTCCGATGACAGTAGTCTAGAAGATCAACCACACATTCTCTCTCCTCCACCTCACACATCTCCTATATTATAATAACACAGTAGTCATAATAAAGATTATTATTTTGAGCAGGGAAAATAAATGGGCACTGACTCGGTAATAGAGACCTAGTTCCAGTAGACCAGCCAGCACAGACTCAAAATACAGCTAAAAACAAGGAACGCATAATTTTTTCAAACAACTTTAAATGTGCTAAAGTGCTTCATGCATAAGATGGTTTGTAATATTGTACAAAGGTGGATTCAAAGTAACTCTTCGTGAAAAAGGTGTAAAATAATTGCAAAAAGTTTGGCTTACGACAATGTAGGTAATAAAGGAAGAAGTGGGGGCTTTGCAAATCTGCAGCATCACGGGAAATACTTTGTCTCTCCACACTTCGACGACCAACAACTCGTGAACTAGCAATGGAAGCTGCAGAATTGAATGTGAGAAAGACATACACTCTATACACTCAAATATTATCCACCTTGTTGTACGAAATGATGAAATCTTTGATGAATTCGTCAGAATTTTGAGAGACGTTGCTGTAAGCCTGCAAATGTAGCCTCTCTAGCCTTTCTCGCTGTGTCATCCATCTGCGGGAGGAAAATAAAGAGACGTCATTTTCTCGAAGATTCTGTGCTGGAGGTGGTTCTGCTGACTTGTCAGATCCGATTTGCTTTACTTGGAAGGTGCGCAGCTCGCTCACAAACGCCTCTGCTTCGCTGGGTAGCAACCTTTCTCTCGCGGCGGCAGAACTGGGGGGAGAGAGATCATGGGGTAGGAGATGCAAATGGCGCGTTGCTTTCCCGCTAAATGCATCATTGATACGATTTACCTGCTCTCCATCTGCACCTCACAGAGATTATTTCTCTCTCACCACACTCCCCAGCCAGCCAGCCGCCGCTAACTGCACAGCTGTTTGCAGGCTCGCCCCATTTCCCCGAAACACACGCGGGGGGTCCAATTTTCCCACCCCCTTCTTGGTTCCCGCGTGCTCGGGCGGTCACGTTCCAATTCTGTCTCCCTTGCTCGCACACTCGCGAGAGGTCACGTGTGAGGTCAGAATCGGCTCTGGAAAGAAAGTCTCCACACAAAGAAACCGTCCATGGCGTCAGGTTCAGCACTCGGACGAAGCGGGCCGAGGGTTCTCCGCCGATTCCTCTCCTGCAGTGCGGCGCGCGGCTTCGGGAGGGGGTCCCGACCAAACGAGGTGGTGATTGCCAGCGCCGTGCGGACCCCGATCGGCAGTTTCCGCGGTTCCTTGTCCTCCCTCCCTGCGACCAAGCTGGGCTCCGTGGCCATTCGGGCTGCCGTGGAGAGAGCGCAGCTCACGCCAGAGCAGGTATATAGGAGGCAAGGGGAGGGGATGTAGGCGTGGCTTTATGTAGTGGGCGTAGCTCAACGGGAGTGTCGTCATAAACAAACGGGTGGGCATGAGTCAGTGCATGATCATGCATATTACCATTCCTATACTTCAACATTCCCCCTCTCGTTCTCTCTGCATACTGTATATGCATACACCCAGATTCAGGAGGTGTACATGGGTAACGTGCTGCAGGCAAACGAAGGCCAGGCACCGGCGAGACAAGCTGCACTCGGTGCCGGCCTGCCTCTCTCCACTCCGTGTACCACCGTCAATAAAGTCTGTGCATCAGGTGAGGAACTTCAACGACACGATGCTTTGAAAGAAAATTTGGCGTTTTGCAGACCATTTTCATTTCTAGACAAGTACACGTCACTAATGTGGACACTGCCTTTAAATAAGGGACACCTAATAATTTAGTTCATTAATTAACCCCGGAATAAAGGGCATCTCTCTATAAAGGACCCTTCGTTCTGCCCCATACTAATACATTATCATTTTTGTGTTTGTGGTATGTGTGTGTGTAGGTATGAAGTCAGTAATGATGGCGGCCCAGAGCCTTGCTGTGGGGTCGACGAGAGGTCATGGTGGCAGGAGGAATGGAGAGCATGTCTAACGTCCCCTACTATCTAGCGAGGTACATGCGGACACACCACCATACATCATTAAATTCCTACACACAATGTTATCACGTATACAGTGGAACCTCCGATAAGGGACCCTCTGAGATAGGGACGACCTCTTTACAAGGACACTTGTTTCAACCCCATGCTAATTCTTAAAGTGTATTATTTGACCTCCGCGATAGGGACGACCTCTCTATAAGGGACACTTGTTTCAACCCCAATGCTGATACTTTAGTGTATTATTTGACCTCCGAGATAGGGACGACCTCTCTACAAGGGACAAAATCGTTGGCCCCATAGTGTCCCTTGTTTGGAGGTTCCACTGCATAGTTTTGAGTGTGTATGTATTGCTACGTATGTTTTAACCCCGCAAAAGGGCCCGTGCTGGTTTTGGCTATGGTCACCAGTCAGTTGAAGATGGAATTATCAAAGACGGTCTCTGGGACGTGTATAATCAGGTTAGCTTTAGTCTTTTCCCATTATTAGTACGTATGTTTGTTGACTCTGGCAGTTCCACATGGGTATGTGTGGCGAAGATACAGCCGAAAAGTATTCAATTTCACGTGAGGAGCAAGACGACTACGCCAGAAGGTTAGTAATGGAGGACAACTATCTTATAGGGATGCCTTTTCTCTCCCCAAGAACAGTTCGTGCATGTAATTAAACCACTGAAATGAGGACTCCTCACTAATTGGACACTTTCTTGAGTCCCATTGGTGTCTGGATCCACTGTAGTTTAGCAACAAATGCTTGTCAAATGCATGTCTCAACAACTTGGTAACGAGGTAGAAAGGGAAGGGAAGGCAAACAAGTCAACTACACCCAGGACAGCTCTTTCTTTTCAAAGAAGAGCTGCCCTGGGTGGGATTCGAACCCACGACACTCTGCAGTCGAGGCGAGCTACCAACTGAGCTACCAGGGCATGCCTCTCTCTCTCTCCCCCCCTCCCTCTCTTTCTCTCTAACAATAGATCGTATGAGAACTCAAAGAGAGCGACGGAAGACGGAACACTGAGTCGTGAGATTGTCGCAGTCTCCGTTCCTCAGAAGAGAGGAAAACCTGACATTGTCGTAACGCAGGACGAGGAATTCTCCAGGTATACATTTGACGTGTAGCAACAGTTTCAGCTCCGATTACAAGGTGGCGTTTGGAGGGTTTGGTTTGATACCAAATTGCAAACCTTTTAAGGCGTCCTAAAGTATGGTATTACTTGCTTTGCACAACAACTGAGACCCACTGCTATTTGTTCTCCCCCTGTCCTCCCTCTTTCACCCGCTCTAGAGCTGATTTCACAAAGTTCCCTGGCCTCAAGCCGGCGTTCAAGTCCGAGGCAGAAGGGGGTACCGTCACGGCAGCCAACGCCAGCACCCTCAACGATGGAGCTGCAGCCCTCGTACTTATGACTGCGGCTGCGGCCAAGAAACACAGAGTTGAACCTCTCGCCAGAATAGTTGGTAGGCGCCTCACCGTCACGTTAATCTTGTGCTATATACACCACCCAGTCTTGAAGTTTTAGATATAATTGTCATAGTTTGGCAATGTACGGTGTACGTACATATAAGGAATAGAGCCAGTTTAAGAATGGAGTTCCGTTTCTGTGTTTAGTAACATTTCCAAACCGTGGCTGCCACATTTCCTTTAGTTGAGGTTAAAATATAGGATAGTTGGAAGCCTACCATCTTGTTTTGTTCATTATGGAGTAAGCACCCATGAGTTCTAGTTTTAAATTCTGATGGATGGAGCCAACTTAGAAAATGACTTTCTCCCTCTCTCTCCCTCTCTCAAGGATTTGCAGATGCTGCTCTAGCTCCGATAGAGTTCCCCACAGCGCCGGTGGTTGCCATGTCTAAAGTCCTCGCCGCGTGCGATCTGACGAAAGAAGACATTGCCATGTTTGAAATCAACGAGGCATTCTCGGTGGTGGCGCTGGCTAATATCAAGATCATGGAACTGAATCCCGACAGAGTCAACATCAATGGAGGTACTTAATATGTACATTATTATACAGTGAATAATTAGGATTCCATGTATGGTGTCAAATTTTTTTAGGTTCAGTCATATTTTTTAACTGCGGGTAAACCAAAAATTGTTATTTGGTTCAAGTGACTCTCCTGATAAATTTTATCCGCAGCACGATATTTGACAAAACTTGTGCTACAAAAAAACAATTTTATTGTTCCTAATTTCCCCAGGGGCAGTTTCATTAGGGCACCCTATTGGAATGTCTGGGGCCCGTATCACAGGACACCTTGTACACGGACTGGAACCGGGACAGAAGGGACTCGCCGGGATATGCAACGGAGGGGGCGGGGCTTCAGCCATCGTCATAGAGAAACTCTGACGCACTTTGTATGTCGTTGTCGTTGCCATAGTGAAATGTGTACGTTCTAATTTAGCGTTTCCACGTGGAAAAATGCATTAACATACGACTATAGTGCTGCTGCGTGGTTTGCGGCGTCGAATAGAGTAGACTCTGCCCGTTACCAGCTAGCCGATCGGGGAATCTCTCTTGAAAACTGAGCGGAAGATTTATAGCGTCGTAGCAAGACTTGCGCTTGAAGCACAGTTGTTTGATGCAAGCATAGGCGTAGGCCGACCGTGTGTTGTGGTAGAATAAAGTGAGAAAGAGAGAGAGGGAGAGACGGGCGGCGGGTTGTGTTGATGTCTGAAGGAGGACCGCCCGCCAAGAAACGACGACTCAACTGCAACGGACAGCAGCTGGACCAGGTGAGCCAGCCAGCCAGCCAGGGCCGTTAGCGCATGCGCAGTAAAATAGTCGTTCGTCCCGGCCCGCATGCGGTAGTTTTTCGGGCGTTTCCGGAGCGATCGACGAGCCTGAAAGTCGTGTCTGTGCCAAGGCAGCGAGCAGTAAGAGATTCCGTGTAAGTGGGGGCGTTTGAGATGCGTTTGCGTTACCGCGCGGGCCTGGACGAGTGTATGTTGGCTGTTTTTTTTGGTTGCGTGGAGCGAAGGCCGTCCGTTTCGCCGGACCAATCAACGTAACTAACGGCAGGGCCTATTATGTCTCTCTCTCTCTCTGTTTGTAGGCCACTGAGGACGTAGCCATGGCAGAGGAGGAAATAGACGAGGGCCTGTACTCCAGGCAACTGTGAGTGGTGATGTAATCCCCACACCTCCCCATACATTTTCAAAGGGAGCCGTGATGTAATTGTCAAAACCCGTGCACTGAATTGCTACGCAATGAGTGCGGTAGACTTACACAGATGTAATGAACAAGAGAACAACTAAACTAGCAAATAGAGACATATCGGGGCGAGCAAAACTAGTCCTGGTTTGTGCACTGTGTTGTATGTCTATCCGTATCGTAGTACATCTACCCTAAGTGTGTTAAAATAGTGCACTTTGATCTGCCTGTAGCTCCATTACTAGTGATGATGTATTACCTGCTGGGATACTTACAGGAAAATGTCACCTAGTTTCCAACCGGTCATGTTTTCTGAGCTATTGTAAAAAAAACTCAGTATAATTTGTACTCTAAACGTCAGTTTCCTGTTGTGATTGTAGTTTCACTCTCGTCCCCCCCCTACCCCACTCAGGTATGTCTTGGGTCACGATGCCATGAAGAAGATGGCCGGCTCCAATGTCCTCATTTCAGGGATGAAAGGACTCGGAGTGGAAATTGGTCAGTCGAGTGTTTCCCTGTCTGTTCTATCTTTCTGTCCTCTCACATTGTCTCTTACTACAGTGGAACCCCTCAGGGGTGTCCTTGGAGAGGGGTTCCACTGTAGTTAGAGTGTGTTGGTCCTCTTTCTCTTTGCGTATCTACTTCTCCACTTTTACTGTTATTTTTGTCCTCCCTTCCTCTTCCCCCCCTCTCTCTCTCTCTTTCTCCCTCACTGCAGCTAAGAACGTAATCCTGGCTGGCGTGAAATCAGTCACTCTTCATGACCCAGACACTGTCAAAATACAACACCTCTCCTCACAGGTCTCTCTCCACAATGAGCGTGTTTTAAACACAAAATCCGACTCACCGTTTCACTGAGCATGTTTCAAACTAAAAATCCGACCCACTCTTACTGAGTAATAATGCCTAATTCAAAACCCAACCCACTCCGCGTGCATTTCTAAACATGGGCACATTTTGTAGATCAAACTTACAGTATTATAGCCATTGAGCACATTTTCAAACTCAAAACCTGACACATTCCCGCTGAGCGCCTTCGAATTCAAAATCCGACCCTTGTTTCATGTTCCATTCCTCGCAGTACTTTCTGAGCGAGGGGGATGTGGGTAAGAACGTTGCAGCTGTCAGTCAACCCAAACTGGCGGAGCTCAACTCCTACGTAAAGGTCAAAGTCCTGGAGAAGAAAAGCTGACACCTGCCGACCTCGAGTGTTTTCAGGTTCGCCGTTTGTTTTTTTTCTTCACTTTTCGTATTTGTGTTGCGTTCTCCCAACTGAAATAAACTTGGGTATTTGTGCTGCACATGTGTTTACTTAGACTACGGTAACACGCAATTGACCAATCAGATTCCGAGTTTAGAGGTAACTATTTTTCGCTGCACTCGGGACGCCGACAGCTCAGGGCTCCTCGACTCACTAAATCGCGTAGTTCCCGCGGCTCAGCATCTAACCTATACTTAGGAGCTAAACCAACCGTCAGTAGTGCGTGACCTCCTCTATAGGTTGTGGTCCTGACAGACACGCTGGAGCAGACACCGCTGGCTGTACAGAAGGAGTTGGGAGACCACTGCCACGAGAAGAACGTCAAGTTTATCGTCGCTAGCACTAGAGGACTCTGCGGGTTAGAATATCTCTGTCCTCTTTTCCTTTTATGGCTCTTTCTTCATTCGTTTTCCCATCTTTTTCTCTTTTCATATTTTTTTAAATTTGTTTCTCTGCTCTAACAGTCAGATATTTTGTGATTTTGGGGAGGAGTTTGTCGTCACGGATACCACTGGGGAACAGCCACTCAGTGTTCTCATCTCACACGTCACCAAGGTAACCGGTAACCACGCACACGGAACATCCTTAACTACGGCCATCTCCGTATCTTAATTTCTCCCTATTTCCCAGCGCTCCTAATTTTTGGTTTTCTTGTTTCTTATACAATGTAGGATGAAAATGGAGTTGTGACGTGTTCAGACGAAACGAGGCACAATTTTCAGTCCGACGATTACGTCACCTTTTTAGAAGTCGAGGTAATGATAATAAATAGCATGAACTTCATAACCCCCCATACATTCAGCCTATAATATATAGAAAATTTCACACTTTTCTGTGTAATGTACCCGAACTGTAAAGACTTGGGTTCATACTAGTACATATGTACATGTGCATATAGGGCTCCATATATTCAGCCTATATATATATAATTTCACACTGTATGTACCCTAACTGTAAAGACTTGGGTTCATACTAGTACATAATTATGTATGTACATATACATAGGGCTCTATTATATACGAATTTTCTAAAACCCAGGTTTAAGGGTGGACTCTTACTCACCGATTAATGTTTTTTCCCCCGAAAGAACATTTCGAGCGATTTTTATCACTGAGTACGGTAGTACTTAGTATATTATAGGGATGACATAGGTCATCCTGCATTATGCCCATATAGGGATGACACAGGTCATCCTGCATTATGCCCATATAGGGATGACACAGGTCATCCTGCATTATGCCCATATAGGGATGACACAGGTCATCCTGCATTATGCCCATATAGGGATGACACAGGTCGTCCTGCATTATGCCCATATAGGGATGACACAGGTCATCCTGCATTATGCCCATACATTTGAGATACTAAGGTGTACTGTTTCAGGGTATGACAGAATTGAATGGATGTGAACCAAAGAAGGTGAAGATCCTGGGACCCTATACATTCTCTATTGGGGATACATCGTCCTACGGGGATTACGTCAGAGGAGGCGTGGCCAAGCAGGTCAAGATGCCGCAGAAAGTCTCTTTCGTGAGTTTGTCTCTTATCAGTGGAGTGACGGGGCTTGAATATCTTCTCTCAATCTCTCTGGCCTTGCTCTCTCTCTTCTCTCTCTCTTTTTTGTATTACCTTCTCTTCGTTCTGTTTCTCTTTTTCTCTCTCCTCTTCTCCTCCTTTCCCCTCCTCTCTCTTTCTCTCTCTCTCTAAAAACCTTCTCGCATTTTTTTCATCTTCTCTGTCACACCACTGTTTTGTGTGTTACTTCCCTCTTTCTCTTTCTCTTCTTCCCTCTTTCTCTTCTTTCCTTCTCCATCTCCCTCCCTCCTTCCCTCTTTCTCTTCTTTCCTTCTCCATCTCCCTCCCTCCTTCCCTTCCCCCTTCTCCGTACTCCAGAAAAAGTTCTCAGATTCGCTGGCCGACCCAGAGTTCGTGATAACGGACTTTGCAAAGTTCGACCATCCCGAGCACCTCCACCTGTACTGGCAAGCCATGGACAAGTACTACTCGGACAAAAGCTCTCTTCCTTCCTTGCATTTAGACCTCATCCCCTACGTGATGGACATCAAGTTTCCAAAGGTTTGTTCGAGCGCGTTAGCGTGAGGCAACTACTCCGGGTTGTATTCTCGCGATATGCGTACGTACGTACGTGTCGGTCACGCTTAAGGATGTCAATTAGTCACACTTAGGAATGTCAACTTCGTAGGAGTCTAGCGTGCAGATTCGTAGGAAGTGTGGCTTCGCACGCAGTCAGTAGAGCGCGCGCACGAGCGGCTTCAGTCGGACTGTTTACGCATTGGCTGGCAAGCGCGAGGCAAAATATGCACATGCTGCATTCCTAGTAATCTGTTTGTCTTTGCTGAGTTTGAAATACACGTGTATTAATAACAAGGTACGGGGAAAGATCTATCACCACCCATAATGACTGGTTTTTCACGAAAACATTTTTTCCCAAATGATGACCAACCAATTTCCTGACACCATATTATAGTGGAGCGAAACTGATTTGATGAGTCTGATGGGACAGGGGCAACCCCCTCCAGAGTAATTTGACCTCTCGAGAGTAATTTGACCCCCTTTAGAGTAGTTTGGGTCGAGAGTAAATTGAACCCCTCTAGAGTAGTTTGACCTCTCAAGAGTAGTTTGACCTCCAAAGAGTAGTGACTCCACACCCTCTAGAGTAGTTTGACCTCTTGAGAGTAAATTGACCCTGATCTCCTTCCCAGTCTGGAGAAAAAAAGAAAATGACATTCATATCTCGACTTTTCAAGAGTTTTGCACTTTCCAACACCGGCGATATCTGTGCCATGCAGTCCGTCATCGGATCCATAGCTGCACAAGAGGTCATGAAGGTGAGATCCCTCTAGAGTATTCCTCCCTCTAGAGTATTCCGACCTCTCGAGTGTGATTTGACCCCTTATCACAGTTACCACATACATTGAAGTTGCATGCATCCTATATCATGGTCCTAAGTGGTAAATTCATTCTCAAGAGTTGTATCGTGTCTATATACATCACTGCCATTAACCCCTACCTCCCAGGCATGCTCGGGTAAGTTTAACCCCATCAAGCAGTGGCTGTATTTCGACGCCATGGAGACGTACCCTGAAGACACTGAGGACTCATTTGAAGAATTGGCGCCACTGGTTAAAGATGCAGCAGTGGTTGAAGAAGGCAGTAGGTACGCGGGTCAGGTGGCCGTGTTGGGCAAGAAGATGCAAGAGCGACTGGCCAACCTCAAGATATTCATGGTAAGAGAGAGAGGAAGGGCGGAACGGCTTGCAAAGTTTTTATACTACTCGTCTTTGTCTCTTCATCGGACGCCCGACCACCGTTTTTTGATTATTTATTCATTCCTCCATTTTTTCCCACTTTTTTACATGTTTTTAATCTTTCTTGTTAGGTTTACTTTTTAATCTTCTTTTCCTCTCCCCCTCCCTCCCTTCCCTCCCCCCTCTCCATCTCTTTCAAGGTTGGAGCAGGTGCAATAGGCTGCGAACTGCTCAAGAACTTTGCCATGATGGGCGTGGCTTGTGGTGAAGGGGGTGTGGTCTACGTCACTGACATGGACATCATTGAGAAGAGTAACTTGAATCGTCAGTTCCTTTTCAGACCTTGGGACATTCAGGTAAGGGCATGTTTCAGTGTGAGAGCTTTCAGAACCGGTTTTTCCCCCGTTTTTTCCCTTTTGGGAGCATTCAGGACACCTTTTCTACAAAATTGTGACAGCATTATTATTTGGACACCAAGTCTGCCTTTTTACGACAATTTTTCATGTTCTTCTAGTCGGTTTTATGAAGTTTGGATTTTATCCACCCGCTCTGGATTATCAGATTAAGCATTTCGTGTACTGTAGTATAATATACTGCGGCTGGTTTTAACCCTTTAGAAACACAAGAGCGAGGTTGCCATAGCGGCGGCGAAGGCGATGAACCCAGCGTTCAACGGAGTGGGTCACCAGAACAGAGTGGGGCCCGACACGGAGAGCACCTATGACGACTCCTTCATGGAGCAGCTGGACATTGTCGTCAACGCTCTCGACAACGTGGATGCACGTAATGAGCTATAATCTTTAAGTTTCGAAAATCCCCATTTACAAAAGAAAAAGGTCAATTTAGCAACAAAATACTGACGAAATTTCCTGGTTGAACACTTTTCCCAAATGATGACCAACCAATTTCCTGACACCATATTATGGTGGAGGTAAAACTGATTTGATGAGTCTGATGGGACAGGGGCAACCCCCTCTCAGAATATTTCTCACCTCGAGTCATCTGCCCCCTTCTAGTATTCTCTCTCTCCTACCCTCCTCCCTCTATGCCTCATTCCTCCATCCTCTATTCTCTCTCTCTCTCCCTCCTCCCTGCTCTATTCTCTCCCTCCCTCCCTCCCCACTCAGGCCTATACATGGACAGAAGATGCGTTTACTACAAAAAACCGCTACTGGAGAGTGGCACTCTCGGAACCAAGGGCAACGTCCAAGTTGTCTTACCCGACATCACCGAAAGCTACGGCTCCTCCCAAGACCCACCTGGTGAGGTCACATGACATCACGTGATGTCATCATACGGATCACATGACATCATGTGACCCCTCCACAGAGAAGGAGATCCCGATATGCACGTTGAAGAATTTTCCGAACGCGATTGAGCACACTCTCCAGTGGGCGAGAAATGAATTTGAGGGGCTTTTCGTTCAACCTGGTGTCTACGTTGCGCAATATCTCAGGTGATTTGTTTGTTTGTTTGTTTGTGTTGTTGTTTACCTGTTTGTTGTCTTGTTGTAGTGACCCGAAAGTTCATCCAGCATACAAAAAGCTGCCTGGAATTCAGCCAGTTAGTGACAATTTCTGTCTCAATCTCTTTTTTCTGGTAGCACAATATCACTAAGTACTTAGTATATAGCTATAGGGATCGATGACACAGGTTGTCCTGCATTATGCCCATACATTTGAGATTTCATATGTTTCACTTTCATATACATAGAAGTGCAGTGTTGAAAACTACGTCAGCTTCAAAGCTGTTGCAGAAGAAACAAGATCGTGTTTTCTCTAAACGGAGTTGCTGCAGTTAACGTGTACCACATTGTGCAGGAACTTGCTTACTAAATCTCATAGTAACGGCTCCCTGCACGTGTAGAATAAATATACCCTTAAATTTTATTTCATAAATAAATTGTCTCTCTCTCATTTCTCTCCCTTTCAGGCTGAGATCCTGGGAGCTCTGAAGAAGGTGCTAGTCGACGTACGGCCGTCAACATTCGACGACTGCATCGTTTGGGCACGTAAAATCTTCGAGGAGTATTTCCACGACACAATCGCTCAACTCCTCTTCAACTTTCCTCCAGAACACGTACGAAAGATTAGTTCTTGATTTTTTCCTTGTTTTTCTGGTGTCTGCCTTTCTTAAAAGCAGTTGTTGCATGCAATTCAACCCCTGAAAAAAGGACACCTCACTAATATGGACACTTTCTTCCGTCCCATGGGTTAGAGGAGTTCCTCTGTATATTATACCTGTGTCCTCCGCAGATGACAAGTTCAGGTCAGCCGTTCTGGTCTGGACCCAAGAGATGTCCAAAAGTTGCCAATTTCGACTCAAAGGACACCCTACATATGGACTTTGTAGTCTCTGCTTCTCTTCTGTTTGCAGAGACTTACAGCATTAAGAGTGAGTGGTCATGTGACTAGTCATGTGATCGTATACATTGAGAGCACTTTTCATGTGACTAGTCATGTGATCATATACATTGAGAGCGCTTTTCATGTGACTCGTCATATGTAATCTAATGATCATGTGACTGTCACATGACCACCATGTGTGACTAGTCATGTGATCGTATACATTGAGAGCACTTTTCATGTGACTAGTCTTGATATGTAATCTAATGATCATGTGACTGTCACATGACCACCACGTGCAGCTGTAGACGACCGAGGTTACATCACGGGAAAGGCGGCGGCTGTCGAGGTGGCCCCGTTCCGTCCCAGGACAGGAGTCGTGATTCATACCAACGACTCAGAGGCTCTGGCTTCTAATGCAGCCGAAGCTGGTGAGAGACTAACACACATGATATATATGTACACAAACACATATTATGTTCTCTCTCTCTTCTCCTCTCTCTCTCTCTCCTCTCTCTCTCTCTCTCCTCTCTCTCTCTCTCTCTCTCTCTCTTCTCTCTCTCCTCCTCTCTTCCTCTCCTCCTCTCTCTCCCTCTCTCCTCTCCTCTCTCTCTCTCTCTCTCTCTCTCTCTCCTCTCTCTCTCTCTCTCTCTCTCTCTCTCTCTCTCTCTCTCTCTCTCTCGTTTTCCAAAGATCGAGAAGGACTCGAGACAATCGTAGCCGCCATTCCGTCTGTCGCCGAGCTGAAGGGTGCAAAGGTCGTTCCCTTGGATTTCGAGAAGGACGACGACACGAACCATCACATGGACTTCATCGTGGCGTGCTCTAATTTGAGAGCCTTCAACTACAGCATACCACCTGCTGACAGACATAAGGTCTGGTGGTACTAAATTTCAGTGCACTAATGACGTAAATTTTATTTTTTTACACTTGTGCAATTTTTGCTCTTTTAATTTGGTGTACACTACAAAATTCACCACCTCACTCTTATTACATTATATATACCATTCTTCCGTCCTCTACAGAGCAAGGGATAGCGGGGAAGATAATACCAGCCATCGCCACGACGACGTCCCTGGTCGTCGGGCTGGTGTGTCTGGAGCTCCTCAAGGTTGCCGGGGGACACAAGAAGTTGGAGTCGTACAAAAACGGTTTCATCAATCTCGCTCTCCCTTTCTTTGGATTCTCCGAGCCAATTGCTGCTCCCAAAAATAAGGTATATATATATTATGCTGTATGTACATGTGCAGCCAGTGGCACCTTGGGGACATCGAAAGTGTCCTTTATTCAGAGGCGTCCCAAGTTTGGTTAATAGGCAGTACAATGAAGTGGAGCAAGTGTCCTTTATTCAGAGGAAGTATAATGCACTAATGTATGGGGTAGAATGAATCCTTTATTCTATACACTAACGTAGCAGAATAAAGTGACCTATAGCTATATACCTGCGCCTTTATTGTTCAGAGGGTCCTTTGCAGTGCTGTGAGAATGGCCATTATGTATTGCTTATGATTATGCAATGCTCTATAATGCTGTTACAGTATAATATACTAGTACTATGGTGGATGATGTAATGGCGATGTAATGCCATGTGCAGTACTACTACAAGATGATGTAATGATGATGTAATGTGTAATACACAGTACTACGATACGGAGTGGACGTTGTGGAGCAGGTTCGAGGTACAGGGAGTCAAGGAGAATGGAGACGAAATGACTCTCAGGGAATTCCTGGAATACTTCCAGGTTTGTTGTTTGCTTATCTCTTTGTTTGTTTGTTTGTTTGTTTGTTTGCTTGTTGGCTCTTTGTTGGTGTGCCTGTCCATTTGTTTGTGTGTCTGCCTGTCCTCTTTCATTTTGTCCTCCCTTCCTCTTCCCCCTCTCTCTCTTTCTCTTTCATCTTTATTTGTTTGAGAAAGCACAGTATACAGACATGAAATTCAAGCGAATATGTTTTGGTCGATGGTTATTTTCTTTTACCATGTATTTTTTACAGTGAAATCACTAGTTTTTCTCTCCCCCCACGCAGACTCATCATAATCTTGAGATCACGATGCTGTCGCACAACGTGGCACTTCTCTACTCTTTCTTCATGAACCAGACAAAGGTCAAGGAGAGAATGGAAATGCCGTGAGTATCTTTCTCCTCTCCCTCCTCTCTCTCTTTCTCCCCTTCTCTCTCTCTTTCTCCCCCTCTCTATCTTTCTCCCTCCTCTCTCTCTCTCTCTTTCTCCTCTCTCTTCCTCCCCCTCTCTCTCTTTCTCTCTTCTCTCTCTCTCTTTTCCACGGTACAGTACTAGCAAATCTTTCACTGATTCACAAGTCTTTTATTCTGAGTTTTAACTGCACTCTCTCTCTCTCTCTCTCTCAGGCTGTCAAAGGTTGCAGAATCCACCATGAAGACAAAGTTGGGGACCCACGTACGAAACCTCGTTCTGGACATCTGTTGCAACGACACTGACGGCGAAGATCTCGATGTTCCCTACATCAAATACAACTTCCGATGACAATAACTGAGAAAAGCCGACTAGCACTTGAATTTGCATAGCCACATGCATTTATATATTAGGCTTAATATTGCTTAATTGTTTTGAGGTGTGTTATCATGCTATTATTAGGTGTTTGGTGATTTTAAATTGTGGCGTGCTTGCGTATAGAGATGTTCCATTGTAGACATGCTCCGCATTTTTCCTTCGCTTTTTCGTGATCATCGTTCGTATGATCTGACAACAACAAAGATTCTGTGTGAACTGTTGCATCATGTTGCTAGGACACGGCAGCTGCAAGGCCGCCCGTTGCCAAGGCATGTAAGCTGGTTGGCAACGGAGGGCGGTCCTCTAATTTGTCGTACTCGACTCGGAAATCTCTCGTCGCCTTCCTCCACAGGTTGACGTCAAAGTAGCAATAGGTGCCCTCTTCAAATGTCTGTTCCTGTTTTACCGGTCGCATACCTGTTTGACCAGAGAAGAGGGGAAGTTGTGGCAAGCACACACAAAATCTCAAAATTTTCACAAAATATTTCTTTATATACCAGGAGCTCTTGTGATCCAAATTTTCTCCTCTTTATGGTACCTCCAGTCCCTCGCATGGCTGCAGGCCAGTCGGGAAAGGGTTAAAATGTGCAACAATTTTAACCCTTTTGTTCCCACTCACAGCTCGTTGGCAGCAACAATCTGCATGACGTCGCCTCCATTGCTATAGTACAGGTAGAACAATAGGTCTTCGCCATAGCGACCCACTCTGATGTTTGCCAGCTGCAAAACATGATGTAATGATGACATCATTATTAACGATGTAATGATGTAATTTACCTTGTCTCTAACGTACGGATGAATCAGATACTCTTGGGGAACATTGTAGTCTAAAGGGTTCGGATAAGGTCAAAGGTTAAAATGAAGCCCAAAAATTTCAAAGGTCACATGGAGAATGACCTCTGACCTATGAACTCACCGATATCTTGTGGTCTACAAGGTCCATCTGCCCATGGAGATACAAATGTGTTGTACAGACTCCTGCAAAACAAATTTTATGGAGAGAGTTAACATTTTAGTGGGTATATAGCTTACTCTGGGGAATTCAGGTTGAGACCGAGAGTGGTCAGGTCGCTGCAAATGTGCAAGAACATCGCATTTTAAGAAGTTATGAAGAGATATTGACATTATATACCTGCCGAGAGCTAATGCAACTAGGTTGGGGTCGGTCTCAGCCCCTCTTATGAATGTGAGAAGTCCCATCATTCCAAACTGGTCCTGTACCATGCGGGGCGGAATGGAGACTGTCGCTATGGCAACAGAACAGAGCGACAATAAACAACATGTTGGCGATGGAATGCATATATACATACTCGGTTGGTTGCTTTTTCTCTGGTTTGATTTCGGAGGTGGACCGATTGGCGTCGTCGCGGGCCCCTGCCTGTTGAGCATTACATCATTGTTACATCATAGGAAATATGTGAGTGGATTAATCACCTGTCTTTCTGGCCGCTGGAAGCAGGGTCGTAGTTCAAGTTTGATCTCGTCTCTGGAGAGAGATGGGAGAGAGTGAAAATTGAGGGGGAAAAACCATAAAAATCTTTCGGACAAAAGGTATCGTACCTGGTAAAGATGCAGCACTGCTTGTGACCTGTGTTACGTAACAGACAATAATCACCAACACCTCGACCAACTAATTGCTATCAACTTACAGTTGTCTTTGTGCTGTCACTAACTCCTTCAACTGATTCTAGAGAAGAGGTGATAAAAAAATTGCGAGGAAAAACGTTCTCAATTTTGCAGGTGTTGTGCGGAAACTGTCTACAAAAGGCAATTTCCGTTAGCTATACAGTATCCAACATGTTGGTATGATGTAATGATGACGTAATCACCGGCTCACCGGTTGTCTTCGCAGCAGTGGTGGTTCCAGGGAGAGCAGGGAAATCTTCGCTGTGCATTTGAAAACCAGGTGCATTCTCAGGGGCCTTTGCCAGCTGGCCCCCCATGGGGAACGGGGGTCGTGCAGAAATTCCAGCGGCCCCCAACATTCCGAACCCCTCGTGTCGGCCCCGCCCCCCGAGAGAGAGAATCGGGAACTCCGCCGGGTCAAACCCCTGCCCTGCCGCCTCTATTACTAGATTACATCATAGTGACATCATAACGAGATCACACGACTGTCACATGATGCTCACATGATCCATATCCAGACATGGGGCTCATCATTCCTTGACCTGATCTTCCAAGGCCACCGTAGGCACCAATTGGTAGCGCACTAAAAGTAAGAAATTTTAAATCATACTCGACAGAATTATGTTAAGTCTCACAATGAGAATGAGAATGAAAAAGTTTGTACAAGATAAAAGGCTTCTTCACCTGCCAATGGCGGAAGAAAGGGTCGAAGGTCGACTAGACTTGGCCCCGCCCATTGCTTGTCCGGGAGCCCCCATCAGTCCGCTCCTCGTCATCCCCATGGGAATTACTCCACCCCTGGTGTGATAGGGGTTAATGTTTATCGTTAATCCCTCCCAATAAGGGTTTCAACAATTTTGCATTTGTTGTAGTGGATAAATGAAATGACAAACAACCATCTCTAGTACATTGACTACAGTTGGAGGGTGGAATCTCGTTTAAATCTATCTCATCTATCATGGTGACCAGTAGGTGAATAATTGGAGGGTGGAATTTCATCCTTATCTATCTCTATCTATTTCGTTGTCCCTTCACCCCCTCTTTACCCCTACCAGTAAGGGTTTGAACGGTTTCGCATTTTTTGTACGCACACGAGTAAATTAAATGACAAACCAACCATACCTAATACTTCTACTACAGTTGGAGGATGGAATTGCAACATTACTATGATATTCACGTACCTGTTAGGAGGGGTGAGTGGGCCCCCAGCGAGATTGCCCCTAACCCCATTCCTCCATAGGCTGCTGCCGGTGCCGTCGTAGACCGACCACAAACTACAGATGAGAGATTTTAAAACTGTCCTGAAAGTTCAGGACATGGGATTTAGAACTGTCCTGAAAGTTCAGGACATGAGATTTAGACTGTCCTGAAAGTTCAGGACAGTGAGATTTAGACTGTCCTAAAGGTTCCGGACATGAAATCATAAAAGATCAGGACATTTGAGATTTAAACTGTCCTGAAAGTTCAGGACACTGCTAGGGTTCAGAGATTGAAACCATCCCAGAAATTCAGGACATAATTTCAGGACACCGTTTCAGGACGTATATACCTGAGAAGCAGCAGGAACTCCGCGAGACGTGTTTGGATAAATGGAGAGTCCATGAAGTGAACCTGAGAGACCTGCACGCATGCAGTAGAGAGCAGAAAGGGACACTGGACTGACAGAAGAACAGTACAAATACAGGGGCCAGGGGGTTTTAAAGAAAGAACTCAGTATTGTTGGGGGTGGAAAGTCAGACATAGTGAATAGTGGTCGGTCAGTGTACTGAGCTACAACTCCCAATCAAAAACTTGTCTTCCTCGTTCCCTTTCTCTCTGTCTGTCTCTCGGCTCACCAGACATGGTGGGAAGAGTGGAGCTGTAGATGTTAGTCTGGGCCATGGCTGCCGCTGGCGAATACAGCCCGTGAGCAAGCTAAGAAGAAGAACGACACGTTATGTGACGTAATAATGTGAGCGTCTAATTTTCACCTCTTTGTCCTGTCGCTGTGAGAACATTGACGGGTAGTTGTTCATGGTAACGGGAGAGAAACGCGGCCGCTGTACACAGCCTCTACTACAACGCGCGTCTGTACTCGTCTTTGAACAAGAAGCGGTTAGCTCCAATTAGCGCACCCTGGTTAATGCGGAAAGTATCCGGTAAACGCTATTCCGTATACGTCGAGTAAGCGGATATCAGGGCCGTAAGAGCGTCCACGTGTGCTCTTGCAGAGCTCTCCGCTCTTATTCAGTGCAATTAGAGAAGCAGAGAAAGGGGAGGGAAAGGGCCGAAAATGGTGACCCCGGTTCCCGACCACATGGACTTCCCAGCGGAGGAACAGAAGATTCTGCAGCTGTGGAAAGAGATAGACGCCTTTCAGACGTGCCTGAAGCAGTCCAAAGACAGGCCAAAGTACACGTTCTACGACGGCCCCCCATTCGCTACAGGTCTACCGCACTACGGCCACATTCTAGCAGGCACCATCAAGGTAAGCGCAGTGGGTGCGTAATTAGCTCACACGATAATAAGCGCTGTGTTCGTTAATGACGCAATTGTAGTTAGCGCCGTGCGCGTTTTAAGCGCAGACTGCTCGTATGTTACTAAATAATGTTGTTTTGTACACTGAACCTGTACATGTATAGGTTTTTCCAACATAATGACTAAGCAATGATTGCAGGATGTGGTGACTCGATATGCTCATCAGAGTGGATTCCATGTTGCTAGGAGATTTGGGTGGGACTGCCACGGTTTACCGGTTGAGTATGAAATTGACAAGACTCTTGGGATCAAGGTTTGCGTTCAGTGACGTAACGCAGTTCAACGCAGTGGAACACCTCTCTAAGGACACCCCTGAAATAAGGACAGCTCTCTAATAAGGTCACCTTTTCTATCCCCAACAACAGTTCTTGCATGCAATTTTCAACCCCTGAAATAAGGACAGCTCTCTAATAAGGACACCTTTTCTATCCCCAACAACAGTTCTTGCATGCAATTTTCAACCCCTGAAATAAGGACAGCTCTCTAATAAGGTCACCTTTTCTATCCCCAACAACAGTTCTTGCATGCAATTCAACCCCTGAAATAAGGACACCTCTCTAATAAGGTCACCTTTTCTTTCCCCAAGAACAGTTCTTGCATGCAATTCAACCCCTGAAATAAGGACACCTCTCTAATAAGGTCACCTTTTCTTTCCCCAAGAACAGTTCTTGCATGCAATTCAACCCCTGAAATAAGGACACCTCTCTAATATGGACATTTTATTGGTGTCTGGATTAGAGGGGTTCCACTGTAATTTTGTCTCCTCATTTTGTTAAGAGTCACGAAGACGTGGAGAAAATGGGCGTGGCTAACTACAACGCCGAAGTGCCGTAAGATTGTGATGCGATACTCCTCGGAATGGGAGAATATAGTTACGAGAATGGGACGATGGATCGACTTCAAGAATGACTACAAGACACTCTATCCTTGGTTCATGGAGAGCATCTGGTCGGTTGCTATTAATTTACCACTGAAAGTTCCAATTCTTTGTTGCATACTTCAGATTTTCCAACTGCTTCGACCTTCGACCTGTGGGGTGTAAATTTTTAGACGAATGGCAAATTTTTAGAAATCAGCCTCAATATTTATTTATGTGACCCCACATGTACGCGTGTCTACATGTATGTATGTGTTTTAGGAATAACTAAGCAAGTAAATTAAAATCCTGCGAATTTAAAAAATAGAGGCATATAGGGATGGTATAAAAAGAAAGGGAGACAAGATAGGGATGGGATACATGAAGCATGGTTAATGAACAGATTTGAGTACGAAGGTGTATGTGTGTTGTGTATGTCTCAACAGTTTTTTTTTCTCTTGAATGCCAGGTGGGTGTTCCGACAGATTTATGACAAAGGTTTGGTCTACAGAGGATGGAAGATCATGCCATTCTCGACTTCGTGTCACTCTCTGCAACTTTG